AAAATGTAATTGCCAATTTTGACCACTAGGTGGGGAATAAGCGCAATGTTACTGTGATAGAGCTATAAAAACAGAAAACACAGAAAAAAATGTTAATGTTTTTAAAGAGGACATAAAGGACTACCTTTCCCAGCATTCCTGTCGAGGTCTCAGGGAAGGAGTCTTCAGTTCTGGGCAGGGCTGCGTTCTACTTTTTATTATTTTTAGTTTTTTATTTTGAGCCAGTATTAAAAAGTGGAGCGTCCGCTGACAGTCGACGTATTTCCAGATTCTTTCACTACGTTTTGGTGCCATTTTTTGGTTTTTATGTTTCGGATTTCCCCCCAAAAAAATCACTGTAACCTGCAGAAATACGGAGCCCCAAAGTGGTCAATATTAAATCATTAAAAAAAAGACTTTGTGAATTGAAGAATTGTTAAATTTCAACATTATGAAACTTTTTACTGGATTATTTTAGACGTTTAGTGTTTTTTTTATTCATGTTTATCTCATTAATGGTGAATGAAACATCTCTAATATGAAATTTAAACTCATAGAAAACATTTCAGAGTTAATTTCTCAACTTATTTGACGGATGTTCTTCGTTATTTTAACGTATTTGAGCGACTGTTTTCCTGTTTTTACTGGGCGTTGAACACTTTGGGGCTCTAACAGCAGAACTCCACTCTCTCTCTTTTATTCCCAATTAAACACCTCATCATTTTATTTTGCACAGTCCGAATGGGTAGAAATAAATCATGCGGTCGGCGTCCGGCGGCGCCGCCTCGCGGTCCCCTCCGACCCTCCGTCTGCAGCGCCGCCGGACGCCGACCTCCGTGTGATCTGATGCTGTCTGTCATGTCTACCTCATTTGCACTGATAGTAAAAGAATGTTTGGGTGGGAGGAAAAAAACAAACAGCATATTTCCTGTATGCAGACTTTGGCGATAATAATTTTTTCCCGTATTTGTGCAAATGTTGAGAAGCTGAACGAACGCCGGAGGTCAGAAACGTCGGAGCGGAAGCTGGAAACTCTTCTTTTGTGTGTTTTTTTTATTTTAAATTTCCCCTCCGCTGACTCATCTTTACAGGACATGCTGGACTTGAATCCCTCGTGGAGACACTAAAGACGTTCTGCTGGGTGAAACCCGGCGTGTTGTGTTATTGAGACGTTGGGTGGGAATCTGCTGGCCGCGGGTGGATGAACTCTCCTCCATCCTCCTCAAGAAAAAAACGTTTGAACCGTGAGATTTCATTTTGCCAACTTTTTGTTTTTGTTTTTAAATGCGTTGTTTTGTATTCGTCGTCGGTGCCGAACCCATTCCTGTGTTATTTTTTGCCAATCGAAGCTGCACTGGGGACGATAGAGTCAAAATACCTCCAGCAGAGAGACGAGTAGAGTTAGTTTCATCCTGTTTCTGACGTTGGATTCACCAACTGCAGATTAACATGATCGTACTGTGAGTAGTTCACTGACATCAGGATTTCTGTGTTTTCATGTCGTCAAAATTCAAAGAACTTTTTGGGGAAATTTTCATGTTTGCTGTTTTTCTCCAGAGTTGGACAGGAAGTCGTATTTCAGTATAAAAGCAGCAACTGATAGTTGTTTTTATTATTAATTAATCTGCTGGTTGTTGTTTAGGTTGATAAAAAGTATGGAGTTACTTTAGTGTCAACATTAAAGGAAACTGTTTAAACATTTCAAATTCAAAACTATTCAAGTCGAGTCTTTTATGTAAAATGTAAAATGTAATTTTATAATTATTATTTCAGTTTCAGTGGATTTAAAAATCCCCCGATGAGTTTCTGAGTTAAAACTGAATTTTAAGTGAATTTAAAAACTAAATTCTTAGAAACTAAATTTGGAACATTTTAATTAAACGATCAAAATGTAAAATATAGTTTCACATTTTTTTTACATAAAAGACTCAGTTTCAACATTTCAGATTCAGATTCAGTTTGTGTTGCACTAAAATAATATAAATACTTAAAATCAGAAAATGAATATTTTGGGGTTTTTCGGACTAAACAAGAATTTGAGGAAATTTTTCTCCCAATTTCTTTCTGACATTTTCCAGAATATACATTTTAATTAAAGTAGAAATAATCAGCAGGTTTTTTGTCTTTTACAATAATTTTCTCTGTACGTTTTTTGGGTTAAAGTCTTTTTTCCGCTCTGGTTACGACTCGATGGCAAACAAGCAAATTTCCCACAATGCAGTGCTGTTTTTTTGTTTTATTTTTTATTATTCCTTGTTTTCTTTCGTGGGTCCAGATGTTTCCTGGTGCCGTTTTAAATGTTTCTGTGCGACAAACTCACCTCGTTCAGTGTGAACGGACAGAAACGCCCCGAGTGTCCTGCTGTTTGTGGCCGGCAGGTTCATAAACTGACAGGAAGTGTGACGATGATGATGATGATGATGATGAAGATGATGTTGTGGATGGATGTTGTGAGGAGACGTGGATGGTTTAAAACAGGAGTGTAAATGTTTCAGGTTCAATGCAAAATGTTTGGAGGAGTTGAAAAGCCGAGTTGTACAGAAACGTAACAAAATAATTTTGGAGAAATAAATGAACAAAAAGTGAAACGTCGCGTTGTTTTTATTGTTGAGTGAAACGTTCAGAGATTAACTGATATGTTAAATAAGGTAAAATATACTTTTGTTTCTTATATTTTACATGTTTTTATACTTTTTTTTTTAAAGCTTTGGCAGTAAGAAAAACTCATGTGACCTCCGCCCGTTGTCTAAAGCAGCTGTTATATCGGGTTCAGATAAAGAAAAGTCCATCACAAAGAGTTTCAACAGGTTACATTTATTTATTTAATCTTTTTAAGACGTTTATGAAGGAAATCAGTATTGTTTCCATGTTGGTTTTGTGTATATTATATAATATAATATAAGTATAATATTTAAATGTCCATACACTGGATAATAGGATCGTATCCACAGATGTTCACATCATTGTTGGGATCCAGCTCGTAAAAGAGAAGCAACATAAAATCAGGTGTTTTTGGTAAAATAAGTTTTCAGAAACACAAAGAAACTGATTTTTATTTTTATTTTTATTTATTATCATCCAAAATCAATAAATAGATCAATTAATAAAATCACTGATTGATCCATTAATAAAATGCGTATTGTTTACTTATATGTGTGATATAAATAAACATACTAATAATAAATCTAAATTCTTACAATCTCATGATTTATAAGTTATCTACAATAAAAACAAAATAAATCAAACTAAATAATCTACGAGTTGAAAATCAATACGTACAATGATCACATCAATAAATACAATAATAATAATAATAAATAAGATAAATAAGAACAAAAGAAAAAAACATTTAATTTGACCTCAAATGTACTTCCGGTGACCTCGGAGGAGAAAAATCTAAAAATAACTTTAATTTATTATTAAAGGGGAGGCGCGCGCCGCTGCACGCTGTGGGCTGCGTCGCGTGACGTCACCGCCCAACCGGAGCGACGCTGCGGTCGATGTCGTCATCAAGCTGGAGAGAAACAGGAAGCGGAGACCGGAAGTCCCACTCGTTCTTTCAGTGTAAAATAACGAAATGAACTGATTAGACTATTTTTATTATTATTATAACAATATGAGGAACAAATCAATGAAATATGTTGATATTTATTTATTTTATTTGTTTTTCTATTCTTCTTCTGATTATATATGTATTGATTTTCGACGTATTTAGAATATTTCTTTACCGTAATTATCCTTTAATATTTTATACTTGTGTAGATTTTTTGTCGTAAGCATTTCTCCTGCAGTATTATTATTATTATGTGTACTATTATTTATAAGGGATTCTTGCCTTTAAAAATGAAATGTACTTGAATGTGAGTCGCTCAACAACATCGGAAAACAGAAGAAGTATTCAAATATTTGTGTAAAAAAATACATACAAATCTTTTCAGGCCAAAAATGAAAAAATAAACACACATGTAATCGTCACGACATTGTTTTATTTTTAATAAACCGTATTTGAGATTTATAAAATGTAATATTCGCTAAATCAGTCGAGTTTGTGCTTTTATTCTGAAGACAGATAAACCGGAAGCCCTGCTCGTGTTTTTGCAGGTTGAAACCGGAAGCTTGACGCCGCTGCAGGAAGTCAACCGACGCTCGTTTCTGCCTGAAATACGAGTTATTACCGACAAACAACTGACGCACAAACACGACGGATTAACAACAAAGACCGCCACAAACATCCAAGATGGCGCAGGACAATATTTTCCTCTTCGTTCCTAATTTGATCGGTGAGTTTTCAGTCGTCTGACAACAGTTCGCTAGCTTAGCATTAGCTAACGTTGCTGAGAGGAAAGTTCATTCAGAAAAAAAGTGTCAAATATAGTGAAACACACAGAGCCTGACGTCACCGATCAATATATCTGATTAGTGTTAAATCTGCCCTAAATACTTTAGCCTTTGTTGTAGTTCCGGCTGCATTTATTCTGAAATATTTGACTTAAAGCTCTTCAGGCCTCTGGAATCCTTCAAAATAAAATGATTTTTCAAAGTAAAACTCCTCTTTGGGTCGAGTCCTAAAACTGAGTTTAAGTGTCATAAATAGATTTAAATGTATTTTATGTCACAAAGATCTAAACACTGCTGTGATCAAACCTTCATTTGATGTTAAATCTGATCAGATCTGATCTAAAGTCAGTTTGTTTTTATTATTCATGCAGAATGTGCGATAATAAAAGTGTTAAAAGCCAAATGTGCAATAAAACCACAAACGTACTTAAGTGATCTTCTTTGGTGCATTTTCTATTACAGACAGGAAATGCAACAAAAGGCGGGAAAGTTTGAAACGCTCACACGTCTGATCAGGTCAAAGGTCACCGCTCCAGCTTTGTGTCTGTCTCTCTGCAGGTTACGCCCGGGTGGTTCTGGCTCTCATCTCTTTCTACCTGATGCCCTGCTGCCCGTGGCCCGCCGTCTTCTGCTACCTGCTCAGCGCCCTGCTGGACGCCTTCGATGGTCACGCTGCACGGGCGCTCAATCAGTGTACGTAGACACACACACACAGACTCACACCAGACACACCACACACACACACTGACAGCACAACCCAGGACCACCACACACACCACCACAACACCTCTCACAACACACCACCACACAGACACACACGACACCAAACACACACACACACTCTCCACAGGCACCAGACACACACCACACCACACACACACAGCACACAAGACACACCAGCACACACACTCTCACACACACAGGGCACAACACACACACCACACACAGACACCCACACACACCACACAACAGACACACACACACCACACCACACAGGACACACAGCACCCACACACAGAACCACACACCACACCACCACACACAAAGATCAACAGCACACAGCCACAACACAGAAACACACACAGACACACACCCACACCACTGTAAACACACCACACCACACTGGTAACACACAACACTGTAACCACACACACACCACCACACTGTAAACACACACACCACACACCCAACACACAACACTGTAACACACGAGCCACTCCCACACACCACACACACTGTAACAACCACACACTCACACCACACTGTAACACACACCTCAAACAACCAACACCACACAGCTCACACACCACACACCACCCACACTCACACACACCAACACCACACACACCAGGCCGCGCGACCCGGCGCCACACACACCACACCTCCGCGTGAGCTTCACCTGGGTCCTCCCGCCTACGTTCTTTCCTCCACGCCGACAAAGTGTCGGGGCGATGATGGACCATGGCTGACGCGGACCGATGTGCCCACGCTCATGTGTCTGCGCTGGTCAAGGCCTGTCCTTCTGCGGCGGGGACGGGCCGGCGGAACCAAAGTCTTACACCTCTCCTGTTCCAGCCCAGCATGCTGTCTGGCGGAAAGCATGTGCGCGGAGCCCAGCGGACTGCCACCTGTGGGGCAACCAGCCCGTGCACCAGGGTAGAGAGAGAGGAGACCACGAAGAGAGAGAGAGAAGAAGAAGACACGAGCAGCAGAGAGAGAGAGCACAGAGAGAAGAGAAAGAGACAGAGAGAGAACCACGAGAGAGAGAAAGAGAGAGAAGAAGAAGAAGAGACAGAAGAGAGAGAGAAGAGCAGAGAGAGAGAGAGAAGAACGAGAAGACGCACGGTTCTGTCTCCGCACGGAGCGCCAAACGTTAACCAATTGCTTAGTTCTTTCTGAGATGGAGTTTGGCTTTGCATCACGAGCCCCTAGGCATAAGTGTTTACATGCCGAAGCAGCTGGAATCGAAGCGTAACCAGCACAGCCACTCTCTCCTTCCCTTCTTCTGTCTGATATCTGTATAAACTACATCTTCAAAATGAATCCTAAATGCATTTATTATTGTGATTTGTTATCCACCAATAACGAAACGGTCTCTGTCAGCCTGACATCCGTCTGCTTCTGTTTCCTAGCCTCGACCCACTAAAAAGGATCGGCCAGCGCTT